TGCGTACCTTAGTTCGATTTGGGGGGTGAGTGTAGACCAAGCCTTAGACTGTAAGCTCTTATGGGCAAGGGACTCTGCTTTTGTATGCATTTGTAAAGCACATAGAACAATGGGGCCATGATCCTCATTAGAAGCTCTGGCTTTTGCGGTAATAAACATTTTCAGCACATGCAGTTCTACTTTTCATTTGATGTTGAATTTTACCAATTTAGTATGAGACTCAGTTACTCTTTCTGAATTTTAAATTACAGCCCGTTTAAATTTTATTCAGACAAACATCTATCAGTTTCACTAAAACTTTGCATCATACTGTGCACATTACGCTATGCTGTATTACAATATACTTGCACACAATTATGATGGACATACAGCCCAAACATCTATAATGCAATTTTATAGCCCTGCAGCCCAAGCCCCTTGAGCCTGAGTCAGCTGATATGGGCCAGCTGGGGGTGTTTCATTGCAGCGTAGAAGAGCTCTTTTATTTCAAACTTGCAAGCTTTCATGAGGTTGGATATTAGGAAAAAACTTTTTCACTAGGAGGGTGGTGAAGCACTGGAATGGGTTACCTAGGGAGGTGGTGGAATCTCCTTCCTTAGAGGTTTTTAAGGTCAGGCTTGACAAAGTCCTGGCTGGGATGATTTAGTTGGGGATTGGTCCTGCTTTGAGCAGGGGGTTGGACGAGATGACCTCCTGAGGTCCCTTCCAACCCTGATATTCTATGATTCTATAATAGATAATGGATTCTGACCCATCCCTATATGAAACAATCTGTTGTTATAGATTCCTTATTTTGTTTTTGAGCACATAATCTAACCTGTTGTTCCTTTTTCAACAGTAGAAGAAAAACACTCCAATTACAAATGATGGACAGAATATAGATTAGAATGACAAATCTGGTAAAAATATAATAGTTGTAGTGCAATGTAAATAACTTATTTAAAAAAATAAAGCTGTGACTAATCCAAAGACAACATTTGTTTAATTTCTCCCTCCCATTTTTATTCTTTCAACAAATGGTTCTTCCTGCCTGTACCAGAGAGGAAGAGGCCTACTATACTAAGCTAAATGAAATAATGTGCAGTGGGGTTCTGAACTGGAGGATTGGACTGCACCATTTGGAAACAAGGTAAAAGTGACAGAGAAGGCGGCCTCTTTCAGAATTAAAAATGCTTTTTCTAACTAACTACATACATTCTTTTTCCCCAGGTGGGGAAAAAAGGTTCAGTTTGGATTTCAATTAGGTCAGAACTCTGAATACCGATTATCCAAGTTCAAACACTACTCCTGAAATTGATTCTGGTTTATCTGCACTTCATTTAAAGCTATGCCTCTCAGGTTTAGTTTTTTTTCCCCACTGTGGGACTTTTAATCTAATACATTCTAACTTCATCTATCCATTTGATCATTAACAACCCACCCAACCCCAACCTTTTCCAGCTCCTCAGGTCCTGCACTGAAATTAAGAGCAAAATGTTAAATGATGAAACAAAATACTAGATACCAGACAGCAAATAACTATGATATGTGGCAACTTCTCTCTTTTAGAGATAGTCCAACCTCCTTTCCTAAAGTTAGGAATGTAATCCACATCACTAATGCATCATCTCCAAATACAACAACTAGTTCATAATCAAGTTTATGTACATTGGAGAAGGTAGCCCTCCTTTGAAGAATTCTATTTAACATGTTTCTCTGTGATACTGTGCCAAAACAGTACCCTTGGCTAACTTCCCTAACAATATACTTGATTTTTTAAATATAAAAACACTTAAGAGTGTTAACATGCATTTTTAAGAAATGTGTACAACTTTAAAAAAACAGATAAAAACCTCTTTTATTGAGCAGTATCTACCTCAGGCTTTTTAAGCCCCAGACAAATTAATACAAATATTTTAACCCTATCCCTCATCCTGGTCTCAAGAAATATATCCACTGTATCAAGGGCACCTGATAAATCAGAGTGAAATGAACCCCAAAAGTTTTAAGAGATGTACAAAAATAAATCAGGATAGACCCTGAGAGATCTATGAAAAGCTTCTAAAATTTTGGAGTTCTTGACTGCCTGCCAATGAGAGTAGTGCTCATGACGTCTAATATTAGTACACACATCCTTACGCTATTAAAAATACTAGAAAAAGAATAGAGGTTTAGATTAGTTGCCAGGAAGCCTGACAGTTATAATGTTAGAAACACAACATTAAAATGTTTTATTCTGAGTATCCAGGCAGCAAAGTCCAAAAAGATCCCATTTGTGAGCTTTGCTTTTCCGCTTTAATGTACAATTCTGTTTACATAACGTCGCTCCGGCTCAGTTTTATCACCATCCATCACGCCGCAACAATTTATCTGTCTTAAACAAGAAAATGAGCATGTGTGCATGAGGGGACTATAGTGCAAATGACGACAAACCCATTTTCAATGTATGGAGGGTTTTAAACTATTTGATAGTTCCCAGATTTGCAAGCTTCCCTCAGATGCCCACATTTTCAAAACTTGGGTGCCCCCTGAAGTTAAGCACCTAATTCTATATTTAGATACCTAAATGAATGGCTTGTTTCTCAGTGGTGCTGAGCACTTGCAATTTCCATTGGTCACTCCACATCCCTAGGCTTCAGAGCCCAAGCTCCAGCCCAAGCCACAGCTTCAAAGCGCTGTCTAAACAGCTATTTCTAGAGCTCACCCATTAGCCTGAGCCTGTTAACCCATGCTGGGAGGCTCACTCCCATGGACTGTGTAGACATACCCAACGGTGCTCACTGTTTTGGAAAAGCCCTTGACTTTGACAGAACTATGACAGCTTACATGAGTGGAGGATGTGCCCCCTTGTCCCTAAACGTATGAGTCAAAATCCTGGCCCATTGAATTTGATGGCAAAATTCCCAGTGACTTCAATGGGGTCAGGATTTCACCCATTGTGACTAAGTATGGCTTCAGGAACCTAACTTCAGGGAACGAAGTTTGAACACATTGGTTGAGATGTAAGCTTGAGTATTGGTAAACGGCTAACTTAATCTGCTGCTGTTTCACTTCTAATTGCATAAAAGCTGTTGCATTATTAAAAGAAATCTCAGTCCCTTCTATTTATCATACATATTCCCTAGAAGAGAAAATGGGGAAGATTATTTTTTAAATGTGATTTTTGTTGCAATTCCTATCTGGTAGCACCCCCCCCCACACACACACACAAATATTAGTAAATAGATTTCTCATGTGGCTCAGTTCTTGGTCATCTGATCTTTTCCATCTACATTCTCCCTCTTGGCCAATTCATATGTACCTTTAGCCTTAACTACCACCTTTACATTGATATTACTCAAATATGTATCTTTTGACACCTATAATGTTGTATAATACTACTCCTGTCTGCTCTCCCTGCCTCAAACTTGTGCACTCATCTCAGCTTCCTTCAACTAATTGTCTCACAGAGAATTGCTTCTCTTGGGCAAGAGCAGCATCCTCAATCAGCTATATCTTTCTTACTGTTTTCTTCAACTGAGAACTCTTGTTTGCTATCGCCATTCATAGACTTGGTGATAACTGAGCCTGCAAAACTTTTCTCCTCCTTCCATAGTCCTCAATTCTGCAAGGCTACATCTCTCATCAGATATTCACCATGGCCTACATGTATCACTGCTTCAACTTTAACCCTGCTAAAGTCCTCATCTATGCCTTCATTTCTTTTCTTCCTCTGACTTGCAACCCCTTTATGTCCCTGCTCTTCAGACTATCACATGCAGAATACTGCTGCCTGCTCTTCTGTATACCAAAAGAGACCATAACCTCCTCCCAAAGAATCTTTCTCCATAGTCCTTCAATTACATCCTAGGTTCCACTTCAAAACTGCCCTCATTTTTAAAACTCTACATGGATAGACTCCGGTTTCTCTCTCCCATATTTCCTCCCTCTGCTCTTCTCTAATATGGATGGACCAAAGCCTTCTTTAAAAGTAAAGTCCTGTTACCAACAATCAAGGAATTAAGAGATTTTTCTATATGAAGTTACTACTATAAATAAGTCCTGGTGTCAGAGAGGGTTTGCTAACATAGAAAATGGGTAACTATTCCTGCTCTTTTTTCTAGTTTAATTGGATGGCAGAAGCCTTTTGTGGCCAATATTTTACAACTCCTAGCTACATCAGTAAAATAACATTTTACCACTGTCTTTGCCTGAATAACCTTCCCATAAATTCAGCTTTCATTGGACCTGTACTAACAGCCTGGGGCACATTCACAGCTCAGGGACAGGATCTGTAGAACAACGATCTCACAAGGTGCTGGACAGTATTGGTACTTAATAAACCTAACATTTATAACAGGAGTTCATTAGGCACTAAGCTAGATTGAGACATGCATTATGGTATCATAATCACACTCTTCACATACATTACGAAGCAAAGGTCAAAGAATGAGTGCTTTCAATCCTCTGAGAAACTCAATTAGCATAAAATAACATTTGCCCTGGAGAATCTTGAGGTCAATTTATAATTCATGGGTTTTTGTTTTTACATTTCTTTACTCTTCATAGTGAGAAAGAGATGCCGAGGATCCCCATTTAAATTCTGTCGCTCTTCAGAGGGTCTCCATCCTCATTCTCCAACATGGGAGTGAGGAATCAAAGCAACTAACCTTTCCAACACTAGTGATGCTCCATTATGAGGCACAAAAGCTGCTTCCGTGACTTAAACCACCATCTTTCCACCAATGACAGAAAACTCACCTCCATAAGAAACTTCAACGCCATTAGGCCAAGAAGAGAAACTAAAATTACTGACAACTTGGATTATCCTACCCATTTCCCTACTTTTTTGGGGGGGGAGGAGGGCTCACTTTCACCTCTGTCTCCTGTTTGTGGATGATTTAAAGATAATTTTAAAGATGGTTTAAAAAAAATTTCACTTGCCACTTCCAGCCACCTAGGTCCTATGCTCTGCTGAGTTATGCAAGCCCTTCTGGAGTTAGTTTTTCCCACCATTTTGCTTGGTGAGAGAAGCTTCTTCAATTGGCGATGAAGAGCAAATGAACTCTAGCAGCAAAGCATGATTGGAAACAACAATATGTTAAAGACATACTGACCTTGGACAAGAATATACTAGAGATTAAATTTGACACAGTCAGCTGGGGTCCTGTTTAACTAGAAATATCCAAATCTGAGATCTTCTATGTTATACTGAATTTGCACTACTTTCTGATGATCAGTCACACAAGAATGTGTGAGCAAATATGCACTCATGGATTAATGCTGAAGGTCTGCAAAGTGTTTTGTTTTTATATGTACTTATGAGAGTGTTGATAAATTTACTGAGTGATTGCAATCAATTGGAAGTGGTAAAAATCTCAATAAAGTGCCTATCACTGTGGTATCTAATTGCTGTAAACACAATAAAGCCATCTGTACTACAATTACTTCTGCTTTGTTAATAATGTGAATTGTTTCATCTCTACCCATTTGTAATCCAACAGTACCTGACAATGCTGAGACCACTGAATGCAGAGAGAATATAATGCAAGTCATTTCTTACCACTATATAATGCTATCAGAGTATTTGAAGCTTTTTTAGTTCTGACCAACTAGTTTACACCAAAGTAATCAATTGTCTCCTATGACTGAGGAAGAGTAAGGAATGAATATACTGTGTTTTACCATCAAGTGACATTTGTTTTCATGATCACTCTTAGAAACTGTATTTAATTGCTTTTCACCAAGGATTTCATCACAGTTTTCCAAAAAATAAACAGGATTCTTGCCCAATTGTTCAATATTTCTACTCATTTTGCCCTCCCACAAACCATATTTTATTGGCCTGTGTCCAATTTTCATGAATCAGCAGCTTGAGAAATGTACTGATCAATATCGTAAATTAGTGACAACATTTAGCTCAAATAAGCACCATTTTTATATCTGTCAATAAATCTGGAAAACTCAAGGGGATCGATTCCAACTTAAAACTGTGCTCATATGTGGCAATGGAATGAAAAATTTGTGTGATATAGTTCTTTAGGTCATATTAACATTCTGAATAGGCAATATATTATGCAGTCTCAGGCCTGAGAGCTATGAAGTCAGATTATAAAGCTTTAGGTTAAAAGAGGAAGAACAGATTTGGTTTCTTGACTTTGTTGAGCACTCTGATACTGCACAAGAGCTCTCCTCACCTGTTGCAGTACATGCCTTTCCCTCAATGTCATTAATCTTCTGTGGAGCTCTACTAGTTCATCGAGATATGCCTGAAAACAATCCCCCCCCCAAACAAAGAACCTGTTAAGGAATAGTTGTGTATTTCCACAAACTCCAGATTTAGTACAGAGTATTTACAACAGCATTTGTATTCTCATTTGACTTGTTCTCTTTAGTTTGGCAAGGGAACTAACATTTAACTCCAGCCAACTAATCAGTATGTGATCCAAGCAACCACCAGTTAAACTTTTTTACTTAATAATGTTGAAAAACTTTAAGGGGCCTTTGAAGTAATTTCACTATATCAGATATTCAAAAGAATTTCACAAAATCCTGTTTGTTCTCCAGTATGATAGAAGTTTGCATTCTATCATCAAGGGCCATTTTTGAAATTGATGAACCACTGAATCTTGAAGAGCAAGTTGAATAACGGGCAGGAGGTTTTAAGATGCATGAAGGCATGTGTAAGAAAAAGTGAGCCAGTTATTCAGAGGGGATCAAACTCCCGCCCGCCCCCTTGGAACTTAAACACTAATTCACAGCAGGGGCAAATCCTTCCACTCCCTACCACAATAAAACTCATCTATGGCTGCCCACTAGCATTTATGAAGTAACACATGGGTACCAAACATGGACGTCACAGTCTCCAAGGGAGTTGAAATCTGATCTGAGGGAGGAGGGGGGCAGAGAGTCACGATCATCCTTCCTCTTTTTATGGTTACTATTTTTTCCATTGTAACACATGATCATGGATGGAAAAGATTGAAAACTGCTGGTCTAACAAAGCAGTGCTATGTACTAGGTCATAGACAATCTGGGAATGGGAAACTAAATTAGGAGTCTCAGACTCATGGTAGCACAACGAGGTTACTACTCGTAAATTCTAAACCATTTTGGGGCTTACACTGGGAGATTACATTATGTTAACTAACACAACATTAAAACCCATGTTAGAACTCACTTAACCATGGCCAGCTGACAAATTTAAACATGATAATCCCTCTGTATGCTGAGTGCTAATGTATGCTTAGCGTAATGCTAGTTAACATGTTATATCACACTCTCATTTCCCAGTGAACACCAGCCCTTGGAAAAGATTCTGTAAAATATTTCTATTAATTGCCTGAGACTTGTATTGTAAGATCTTTAGTGTGGGAACTGTCTTTTATTTGTTCTATAAAGCACTATACATATTTGTGGCACTGTATACATAAAACAAACAATAGGTGGTAGATCCCCATCCAGCGAAGTTTGCCAAAACTTTGAGGGGACAATGCTTGCAAAGAAAAAAAGAGAAAAGCACAATGCTGTATTTAAGAAACACTTACAGCAGAGATATACTATACTAACCAGTGAGTTTTCTGTTTTGTAACAAAAATAATACTGTAAAAGAGATGTAGAAGAGAAAATATAATAACTTAATGTGGCTTTCTAAATAGTTTATTGCCATCACACTCATATTTACCTTATCACAATCACCATTCTTTATTTGTTTATCAGATTTATTTTGCTTTATTGGACTTTTCACTTCTAGAATCTGGAAAAGAAGCAGAAAATGCTCTAAGTATTAAGTGCATCTTTGGGCTGTATGAATTTTAAAAAATTAAGAAAACATTTAAAAAATGTTGTTACATAAAAACACAAAGAATATAAAAATGTCTGGAGGAAACCACAACCAAACCTTGCAAATAACCCTTCACAATCTTTGACCTAACAAACCTACTCAATCTTCTTTTCTTAGAAGTAACTTACATCACAAAATGCTGAATCACGACAAGATGGGTATTTAAGAGTAATACTGATGCTAAATAACTTGATTCTATATCATTTTAAAGCTTCCCGGACTGTTTTTTGTATGGTCTTCATGTGAACCTTGGCAGATTAAGAGATCTAAATTTTTGAATATATGCATAGTGCTGAGGCAAACTCTACCTCCTTGGTAAAGGCTACATGCATTTAATGTGCAATATGATTAATATGTTTTCTTATTATCTTTATTGTTGTCTGCCTTTTTTGAAGGATACAGTTTTTGAAATGTAGCTAATCTAGTGTTTGCATGACCTGCAACTGTGCAAAAAGAGTGTTTAATCAAAGATAACGATCATGCATTTACATAGCACCTTTCATTCAGTATGATTACAAGCTACTTTACAAACTTGGGCCTACACAGTGTACAAATTATATGTCAGTGTCTCTTCATCAAATGCTGAAATTTAGTCACCTCTAGGTAAAGAATGTGTCAAATAGTCAAGAGTACACAATGCTACTATATGACAGTTTTAGGACAGAAATGAGGAATGGGATTTTTTTCCATTTGAAACTGAGTTTACGTAATCAGAATGTTATTACCCAATTTGGAGTGTGGCCAGTTGCTGTGAAAAGTGTTACAGACTGCTTAATGCTCACAAAAGATCAGGCTTTCCGTTTTACACCTCATCACAAAGAATATATCTCCAGTAGCATAGTTTCCTCTAACAACGTGCGGGGTTATCATAACACAACACCAACTTCAATATGAAAATTACTCAGTCAGGGTTTGTTAAAAATGAAGATTTTTTGATACCCTCATGTCCCAACATGGGTCTTTCATCAGTTTCCACCAACTCCTAGTATCTCCCCCAACTCCTGTAGTTCCCACAGATAGCACCTAGGTGTTACCTTGGGTGACTGACACCTTATAAATGAGAGAGAGAGAGAAAAAAGTGTGCAGCTACTTTGCAACACAGACAAGAAGACTATAGGTCTGTTTTATCCTAAGTGTTTATTTTACAAAGGATGGTACGTGCCCAGAATGCAACACATGAAGCTCACCTGAAAAAAAAATTCTTAGATTTAACAAGCCCAGGGCTATTGCAGTTTGGGGTGGAGGAAGATAAATCGTCTTGACAAAATGTGAATGCTTCTGGGCAAAATGCCAGGCTTTTCAGGTTTTTCTTTGTTTTTTTTTAAAGGGAAAAAGCTTCTATCAGTTTACCTAGGAGTGATGAAATTTTGATACACAGTAGCCCTAACATCAGAAATGGTTTTCATATAATTTCACTAGCCTGGGACATAGAGAAAGCTTGAAGGAGTTGCTCACTTATAATCTGCCAAATGTGGCTATTGAAATCCAGTAGCTTCCCCACATGCCATAGGTCATTCTCTCCAATACCCAAAGCACCCTAGTTTGGATGAGATGTGTCACTATACATGTTAGAGAAAGCTTATGCAAAGGCTCATAATAACTCAGTATTTTTAACTCTCAAACCTGCCTGAAACTGATTCCTTCAGTCACTAATCAGTTTTCCCTAATCGGTAATAGTATGGTTCTGTAGTGTGAACCTATTTTGTAACACAGGCCTTTTTACATCAGTCAGGAAGATCATGGCAGTACCTTGCTGGCAAGAACCATGTTTAAATATGGTTCTGACTAACACAATTGGAATTCTAGTACAGGTAGGCCTGATCATTCCCCAAAGCATACTTTCTACCTCATCTGTTAAGATAGTGTGTGAATGCTTTAAGATAGTGAAAAGCAACAAAGAGTCCTGTGGCACCTTATAGACTAACAGACGTATTGGAGCATAAGCTTTCGTGGGTGAATACCCACTTTGTCAGATGCATGTGGTGGAAATTTCCAGAGGCAGGTATAAATATGCAGACAAGAATCAGTCTGGAGATAACGAGGTCAGTTCAATCAGGGAGGATGAGGCCCTCTTCTAGCAGTTGAGGTGTGAAAACCAAGGGAGGAGAAACTGCTTTTGTAGTTGGCTAGCCATTCACAGTCTTTGTTTAATCCCGAGAGGAAGAAGAGGGTCTCATCCTCCCTGATTGAACTGACCTCGTTATCTCCAGACTGATACTTGCCTGCATATTTATACCTGCCTCTGGAAATTTCCACCACATGCGTCTGACGAAATGGGTATTCACCCACGAAAGCTTATGCTCCAATATGTCTGTTAGTCTATAAGGTGCCACAGGACTCTTTGTTGCTTTTTACAGATCCAGACTAACACGGCTACCCCTCTGATACTTAAGATAGTGAGCTGTTCACTTCCAACTGGCATCTCTTTAAATACTCCATGATGTTTGGAGAGACCAAATGAGCACATATGAGTTTATGGTGCTCATTGGAGTAGACAGGCATGGCAGGAGAGACAGTGGCCAAATGGATCGTGCCTAGTGAGAGAGAAAGATACAGTTATGATTTCCCTGCACAAAACCAGGTGAGATTTTCAAAAAGCAACCAGCTTTGGTTATCCCTACGTAGAGATCATTCATTTTCCTTGCACTCCAGTCTCCAAAGGAAGATTGCCCAGAATTAAGTGATAGCTGAAAGGAAATGGAAATGTCACTTTATGTATGTTTGTAAAAGTGATCTTTCTCCAAAGTTCATGTAGAAATCAATTAAAATATTTAGAGAATTTTTGATTGATCCTGTTAATGCTTACTGACTGTGAAATGACATGGACTTCTTTATTGTTATTACAGGTGCTCCTGCTAAACACAGAGCATGTCTCCTTTTCTGCAGCATATCCTAATCTAATTGATATAAACAAATTATTCAAGTACTGCTGTTAGCATTGGTACATTTATGTGTTATTGGAAAAGGAATTGATGGTATATTATTTGTGTCAGGAAAGAGAATTAATTTTCCTGAAGGAAGGCAGGGAGTGCTGTTTAGGCTCACCTGTAACACCCAAGTTAAAAATTTTTATTAAAACAGTGGATCCATTTTATCCACATTGCCACTATAAACATGTACTTATTCTCATTTAACTTAGCCCGGCTATATGAGAGTTTAGAGTGTGACCAAGTTTCCTCTGCAGTAGATTTGTGTTCTGTTTTGTCACCAAACACAGGTATATAAATTACTTTAGTTATATATCTTTATACATTGTGAATGTCAATTGCTTTAAAGATAATAGCAAATGCATATATTGTAGTATGCTTATGTGTTATTAAAAACTCCATTAATTTAGAAAGATGTTGTGATCTAACAGATTAGGTATGAGGACCTCCTGAGTTCTAATCCTTGTTTGCTACTGACTCATTGTGTAGATTTGGGTCAGTTAACTTATCTTTCAGTTTCTACACCTGCAGATGGGATAACACTACTTACCTATCTCAACAGTACTACAAAGACTAGCTACTATTTCTACAGTGCTAAGCATTATTTACTATAAATATATCAAAATGCTTTATCTAATATGGTTGATTAAAACTTTGAGATGCAGACCAAATGAAAAAAAAAATCCTGATTACATGTGAACCGAAAGTAACACCAAGAGTAGGATTGCTATTGTAAAGCCAGGTCATAACAAGTTTACCGTTTACAATAGTATGACTTAATATACACAAAAGTGTTGTCTTCCATAGAATACTGCCAAATACATTGCTCATCTGCTTTACAGAGAATATTTGTTCAGCCAAATATATTCAAGTTCAGGGTAAAAGAAAATGAATTAGTCTGAAAATTAAAGCAATCAAGGACACAAGGCTAGCTCCAAAGCTTTTAGTGTAGATACACCACTCTTATATGTAGGGAACCTCACTGTACCTGATTGTTGTTGGTTTTTAATAAAGGTGGTGGAGGTTCATGATGTAGCGGTGAGGAAGCTGAACTGCTGTCACTGTCACTACCGTCACTTAGACTAACCCTGAGGAAAGAGAGAGCCACAGAAATCAGACATAAAAACAAAGGCTGAACACACTCCCACTCCTAGATCACACTTGTAGGTGGGACACTGAGAATGTTCTTTGCTACACAAGCTGTCATTAGTTATCGGAACTTTGAAAGTGCAGCTGTGCTGTCAGCAAAGGGCAGGCACCCAAGCAGAAGTCACCCTGCTGCTGCTTTGAAGCCTTCCAGTGGAATAAGGAGTATTAATAAGGAGTGTAATATGGAGAACTGGAATAGCTGCCCTCCCATAAATCCTTCACCTCGATGACTGAAGTGCTATACTGTTTAGTTCATAGTTGTCACTAGTAAACAGAATCTCAATGAGGCAGGTGTCCCAATTGCAGAACCCCCTGGAAATTGTGGGCAGGAAGAACAAATTCTTAAAACATTTTAATGAACAAAATGTGAATTCACCACAGCTACTCTTCCTTCCTTCCATAATCTTCCAAGCTTGCATACTTCCTGCTTATATAAGTGCTTCACTAAAAGTTAATTAAGACATCCACAATATAATAAGTTCATCATAAAATAATTTTATTACATTCTTTTTTCTGATTGACAAAGCACTTTTTCCACTTCAGTGCTCAGCATAACACACAGTAACATACACTGACACTGTGGGAGTTTGAAGCTTGTTAGGAGCTTTTTCTTTCTCAATGTCAGTTAACAGAACTTACTGGTATAATGCATCACAAAAAGGCAACTACCAACACAATCAACTTTGTTGGGATCCTTTCGGTATCCTTTTATCCTATACCCCAAAGTAATAAAACTCAAAAGCAAGAGGAATGAAGTTCTATGAATTACTGTGCAATAACTCTGCAAAGGTCTGTTTCCCATTAACTTACAAACTGTAAGCATTGTAAAGACAGATGGTTTTTGCTCGAAGAGACAGATGGATTGAAATTGGACATTTGGAGGGGAAAAGTTGCACACGTGTATCCAAGAGGAATACAGTAGAACCTCAGAGTTACGAACTGACCAGTCAATCACACACCTTATTTGGAACCAGAAGTATGCAATCAGGCAGCAGCAGAGATGGGGGGGAAAAAAGGCAAATACAGTACTGGTGTTAAACATAAACTACTAAAAATATAAATGGAAAGCAGCATTTGTCTTCTGCGTAGTGCAGTTTCAAAGCTGTATTAAGTCAATGTTCAGCTGTAAACTTTTGAAAGAACAACCATAACGTTTTGTTCAGAGTTACAAACATTTCAGTGTTACAAACAACCTCCATCCCCTAAGTGTTTGTAACTTTGAGGTTCTACTGTAGTTCACTATCACTACTGTCTGCTTGAATTTTGCATACATTAAATTTTATTAATTTACAGCTGCATTAAGTTATACCCCACTAATAATCTATGGGCTTCCTTTGCAGTTTACTCCTGGGGGAATTCTGTACCCAGGCGCAATGCAGAATTTTGCAGAAATTAACATTATGCAGACAGAATTTCATTTCCCCCACAGAAATGGGCCACGGTGCTGCTACCCACCACTAGGGGTCACTGGACTCGGTAGAACCCAGCTCACACATAGAAGACACTGCTGGGGAGACGGGGTGGAGCTAGAGGGTTCCTGGCAGCTGCAGTGCTCAGCATGCTCTGAGGGAAGGACAGGGCGGCATGCAGGAAATTCTGTGCAAGCCTGGGACCAAGCATCAGGCTGTTTCTCCCTCTGGATTCCTGGGCTCTGCAGGGGAGGGGGACTGGTTTCTGGGCTGGGGCAGCCCCATGGTTGGGCTCTAGGGAGGAAGGGGTTTGGGTGTTTTGGCTGGGGGGGACCCCACAGGTGGGCTCTGGGGGGGGGGGGGGGGGGTTATGGCTGTCTGGTCCCCCAGCTGGACTCGGGTGGTGAAGGGGGCAGAGAAACAGGAACTGGGTTGTCATAGGGGTTTCTTTAACTCTCTACTCCCAGGGGAATTTTTGTGTGCGTCTGTATTGTTACAGACATACTTCCTGACAAGTATTTTGAAATAAATTACCAAAATAATTGAAACTGACTGTGATTATGTAGTGTTATTTTGACAAATAAAATTTGCAGAATTTTAAAATATTGTGCACAGAATTTTTCATTTTTTAGCACAGAATGCCCCGAGGAGTAGCAGTTTGGAAGACTCATTCCTGCAATTCATTGACAACAATGAATGAAGACTTGGGGCTGGATCCCCAAAAGCCTCTTCAGGCTGATCCTGTATTGATGCAGATGTTGGACCTGTGAAAAGCCATCTTAGTCACCAACAAGTGGGTTGGGGAGGTTGTTGATGGAGGTTCTTCCTCCCACCTTTAAATCCACGTATCATTGCTTTGCTGACCGGGGAGAGAATCTGAGGCTACCAACTGACTGTTCTATTGGTTATGAGAAAGTACTCTGACTACTTAGAAGGGTGGCAATTGGAAAGAATAGAAAATTCAGCCAGGAGACTGCCTCACCCCTGCTGATTAGGGGAGACTGGGCCGCCAATGACTGCACAACTAATAAGAGAGGGAAGCCCACTAGAGCCTGATGGATGGCTCTCCTGGGACCTCTTCCCTGTTTCTGTGGCTGGCAAACTGAAACACAATCTCTCCCAAAGCCTCTTCCAAAGACCCAAATGGGAGGAATTTGGGGGAAGGAGGACAGATATGTTTAACTATTACTCAACTGTTGTCCCTCTTTTTAAATCCCAGAAGATGAAACCTACTTTGTTTTATTTAAACATCAAAAATAATAAGCCATTTTCTAGTTTGAATAAACAGAATAAAATATTTAGGGTTTTTTCAATGAAGTTCTGGGTAAAAGTAAAGTTATCAACAAAAGCTATAAGCCACACCGTTGCATTATCTGCATATGCCATGTTTTACAGAAAAAAGTATTTTAGAGATGTTTCACCGTTTTGGGTTTAAAAAAATACTGTCTTTTTTAATCTCTTCACCATAAAGCTAGGCTCTTTTATTATCATGAGTTGAAACATACAGGATTTGGAGGAAGAGAAAAATCATATCTACTAGATTTTTTTTAAGTCACTACAAATGTCTTAAAAATTTCTCTCCTTGCATAACACGTTTTACGATTTAACAGTTCACTATCTTGGAGAGGCCAAGGCTAAATGTTCAACTTTACCTTCTGTTTCTTATGCTCATGCACAATGCTGCGAAGTCTAGGCCAAGGGCGGCCAACCTGAGCCTGAGAAGGAGCCAGAATTTACCAACGTACAGTAACTCCTCATTTAACGTCTTCCCGCTTAACCTTGTTTCAAAGTTACGTTGCTGCTCGATTAGGGAACATGCGCGTTAAAGTTGTGCAATGCTCCCTTATAACGTCGTTTGGCTGCCTGCAAGATTCTGTGGAAGAGCAGAGACTTTACAAGAGAGCATTGCACAAGTTCCTCTTCTCCGCCTCCCCCCCCCCCCAGAGCTTCCCCCACTGCCAAACAGCTGTTTGGCAGCGCTTAGGACTTTGGGGTGGGGTGGAGTACAGGAGCGGGGACGTGGCGAGCTCTGGAGAGGAGGTGGAGTGGGGGTGGGAAGAGGGGGGCCTGGAGCTTCCCCTCCCCGCTCCCAGCACCTCCAACCTACAGGCAACCCCGTGGATCAGTGCCTCTCCCTCCCTCACTCCCCGCACCTCCCGATCAGCTGTTTTGTGGCATGCAGGAGGGGGGGGGGGGGGGGAGGGGAGAGGAGCGAGGGCATGGCAGGCTCAGGGGAGGGGGTGGAAGCAGTGGAGTGGAGGCAGGGCCTGTGGCAGAGCCAGGGGTTGAACAGCGAGCACCCCCCAGCACATTGGAAAGTTGGCGCCTGTAGCTCTAGCCCCAGAGTCGCTGCCTATACAAGGAGCCGCATATTAACTTCTGAAGAGCCGCATGTGGCTCTGGAGCCACAGGTTGGCCATCCCTGGTCTAGGCTGTAAACACTGCATGGAGGGGAATGTTTACTTGTGTTTTTTTTAAAAGTTACACACTGAGTTTTAAAAAAATTGAGAAACATTTCTATTTGTCTTAAGTTTCGCAAAGTTTTATTTAGAGACACCAACACCCCTAAAACAAACAAACAAAAAAACCCTCTACAGCTGGAGACAGATGGGACCAAAAGTGCCTTATAAATTATATTTAACATTAATATTCCAATTCAGAGGTTCTCAAACTGATATCTGTGGAATGGTGGCTGTTCGCAGGGTCTGCTTTTCTCCTTGATTCCAGATGACAAACTGCATTAGAGAGACAGCTAAACTACATTTAATACTTTCCTAATATTACTCTTCCACATAAGCAATTGCTCAAATTGATACTCAAGTGTTATGTGGGATGGAGGATAGGTCATGAAGGATAGGACAAGAAGTCCACAAGAACCTCTTTAAGATGAGGTATCTACCCCCTATGAAAAAGTTTGAGAGCCCCTGTTCCACCTTGTACAGGATTTTCAATGACATATGGCAACAGCTTAGAATGTATGATGAATTTCTCATTTGTTATGTCATACTGAAGTCAAAGTCGGGATGCAGAACAGATAATAAAAAAATCAGGCCAGAAACCTCATCATTTTTGGGATTAGGACTTGCAATACATCCTCCATGAACTGGACACTATGTAAATTGCTTAGGTAAGTCCCTCTAAAACAATGAACTTTGACAGCTTTATATATGTCAATCACAAGATTTGTGGGTTAACTTGTACCTGGGGTACAGAACACCTTGCACATGGAGGACCTGATTCTGCTCTCGCTTATGCCAATGTGAATCAAAAACAACCTAACAAAGTCACAACAGTGTAAAGCCAATGAAAGTTAGAGGAGAATGGCTCAAACTGACCAAATGGTTTTGTGTAGAAGCAGCTCACATCTGGGAGCATCTGATTTGATAGTTTAAAAGTGGCACTGCATATGCATGCTCTTTGTAGAAATTGAATAAATTGCCTGTTTGTTGAGCTTAAGCTATTCAGCTTTTAAAAAAAATTCATATCTCATAACTACTGCTATCATACTGCCTCAGGCTTCAAGTTGTTTACAGTTACAAGATACTCACCTGCGACCTCTACTTCCTCCACGAGTATTTACAGGTCTCTCCATTTCAGAGTCATTCTCATTCTCATCTGCTTCATCTGATTCATCTTCATTATCATCAGAATGCAGATCTTTCATTATAGACCTCAAGGGACCTGACCAACAGAAATGACAAAACAGGCACAAATCAACAATTGGAATTCAAATTCACTTTGCAATGTTCCAGACACATCAGCCTATTATACAGTTTTACAGAGGAAAAAAAATCCGAAGAGTTAGAGGTGGGGGGAAGACTTTTAAGCATTAAACAAATGAAGTAATGCACTAGAGGCTTATGATGCAAACACTTGCACATGAATCATTTACTCACGTAAGCAGTCCTGTTGATTTCAATGGGCTTACTCATAACAGTAAAGTGACCCATGTGTTTAAGTGTTTACAGGACTGGGCCCCCTGGAATGTAGCTTAAGCAAAATATTTTCACACCAAATATTCCCCATTGCATGTTTTAATTTAAGAAAAATTGAGTGTTCTATTTTTTATTATTATAAATGAGATACTTATAAGCTGCTAGCCTTCCCCCCTTCTCTCTTTCTCAAAGGTTATTCTCTATCAATAAAGTTCTACAGAGACATATTAGTAATACTACATTTGTTAGGTTAATCCATGTATTGAAAAGCAGAGTTTAATAAATCATTCTGATTGTAACTTGTTCTGACCAAGGCAGTCTTTGTCTGCCTGTTTTTGATCTATTTAGATAAAGCTGTTCCTTTTATTTCAAGGTCAATTTCAGGTCAAGCAAGCACTTTGCTAGCATTCATATGTAAGAAGCATGTCAATCCCATTCAACACTGTCCTATCTTTTCTCTTGAATTAATTTGAGGTGCTCAGCCTGGTTCTCCCTAAGACTCTATAAAAATTAACTTAAGATTTAGTTCTTTCATTGTACCTTTTATTTATTCTGCTATAAAAGGTGGTTAGGCAAAGCTGCATGTTTAACATATCTGCGAAATATAAAAGAGGACAGCTGCTTAAAAGGAGCATGGGTAAGGGTCAGCTTGGGAGGCTGAAGGAAATGAATCAGACCACAGAGAGTTTGATTCCTTATCACATCATATTCGAGGACATAGAGGGCATCCAGGAATGGCAGGAGTAGTGGTGGCAGTAGTTTATTATTACATTTCTATACTGGCAATAGTTTATTATTATTATTACGTTTTTAAGGTGCCTTCAACACAAGAATCTCAAAGTACTTTGCTATCATTAATAAATTAACCCTCACAATACTCTTGTAACGTAGTTAAAGTTCAGTCACAGTTTCAGGACCATGCTTTAACAATGAGACTATACTTCCCCTAGGTAGGGGACTGTGATGTAAATTATTTCAATTCTGACAGGGATCACACCAGAGACACCCAGAGTGTCTTTGTCCAGTGTTAACAGTGCTTACAGTTTTAAGGCCTATATTTAAAATGGTTTACAAGTAAGGCTGTGCAAGGTTTGTTTAAGTTAACATGGTTTGGGCAAATGGAATTCAGTGGGTTCTGTTCTGTATTTGCATACCGAGGTCTTCTTGGAGCCAAGCCGATAACATGGGGCTGATGGGCATATGCCTAGTGCATCAGACATGGGCACAGACCACAGGATAGGCAATTCTAATAGCAACAGACTGCCAGCTGAGACACTGCAGAGGCCGGCAGTGAGCTGAGGTCGCTAATCAGGAGAGGACTCCCATCCTTGGCTTCTAATAAGTGTATGTGGAGGATAGTGGTGAATTCCTTCCCCTGCCCCTAGCCAGGGAAGAAGGTCACCTGCAGCACTACCATGTGGACAGGAAACAGATTGATCAGTTCTGGTCTGCTAGAAGAGATTCCTTTGGCCAACTGCCTTCTTGCCTGTTGCTCTGTGTGGGGAATGAATGGCAGAGGGACAGGACAGCAGAAGAGAATGAGTGAAAGAGTTAAAGAAGGGAATTAAGGATAAATTATGAGAAAGAGGCTTCATTTGAAGAGAGATAGAAAGAAGGAAGGAGAAATTAAGGGGGAGGAGGAAGACAAGAGAAAGACTGGGAAACAGAACAAAAGACAACATAAGTGGTAGAGGAAGAGAGGAAAAAAGGGAAGTATCAACATTCAAAAACGAAGCAATAACAGACAGACATAGGATGGAAGCAGTTGAAAGGTGGATAAGGGACTGGTTAAAGGGGAGACAACAACAGGTCAGACTGAAAGGGGAACTGTCAGTCTGGAGGGGGATTACTAGTGGAGTTCCTCAGGGATTGGTTTTGGGATCACATTTATTTAACATTTAAATTACTAACCTTGGCACAAAAAGCAAGTGTGCTCTAATAAAATTTGTGGATGACACAAAGTTGGGAGGTATTGCCAATATGAAGGAGGAACGGAATATCATACAAGAAGATCTAGATGACCTTGTAAACTGGAGTAATAGAAATGGGATGAAATTTAATAGTGCAAAGTGCAAGGTCATGCACTTAGGGACTAACAACAAGAATTTTTGCTATAAGCTGGGGACTTATCAGTTGGAAGCCACAGAAGAGGAGACAGACCTGGATGTATTGGTTGATCATAGGATGACTATGAGCCGTCAATGTGATGCAGCTGTAAAAAAGTTTAATGCAGTCCCAGGATACACCAGGTGAGGTATTTCTGGTAGAGACAGGGAAGTGTTAGTACCATTATACAATGCACTGGTGAGACCTCATCTGGAACACTGTCTGCACTTCTGGTTTCCCGTTTTTAAGAAAGATGAATTCAAACTGGAACAGGTGCAGAAAAGGGCTACTAGGATGATCCGAGGAATGGAAAACCTACCTTATGAGAGGAGACTAAAAGAGCTTGGCTTGTTTAGCTTAACCAAAAGAAGGCTGAGGGGAGATATGATTGCTCTCTATAAATACATCAAAGAGATAATACCAGGGAGGGAGAGGAGGTGTTTAAGTTAAGTGACAATGTGAACACAGGAACAAATGGATATAAACTGGCCATCAAAAAGTTTAGGCTTGAAATCAGGCAAAGGTTTCTAACCATTAGAGGAGTGAAGTTCTGGAACAGCCTTCCAAGGGGAGCAGTGGGGGCAAAAATCTAACTAGCTTCAAGACTGAGCTTGATAAGTTTATGTCGGGGATGGTATAATGGCATATGTCCCATTGGTGATGGCCAGTAGCAAAAACTCCCAATGGCTGGAGATGGGACACTAGATGGGGAGGGCTCTGAGTTACTACAGAGAATTCTTTCTGCCTAGTGGGTCTTGCCCACATGCTCAAGGTCTAACTGATCACCATCATTGGGGTCAGAAAGGAATTCCCTCCCTGGTTAGATTGGCAGACCTCCTCTGCAGCATGGGGCACGGGTTACTTGCAGGTTTAAACTAGTGTAAATGGTGAATTATCTCTAACTCATGATTTGAGGACAGTAACTCAGCCAGAGGTTAAGGGTCTAATTTCAGGAGTGGGTGGGTGAGGTTCTGTGGCATGCAATGTGCAGGAGGTCAGACTAGATTATCACAATGGCCCCTTCTGACCTTAGAATCTATAAGAAGGAGGAAAGGAACAAAGAGGAAGAACAAAAACAAGAGGGGCAACAGTAGTTTAAAATATTGTATTCAAATTTAACAATATAATGTACAAATATTTAATCTCACACAGAGGGCAGCATTAAAAACCAACATTTACCAGTTAAAGTGCTTGGAGGTACCATAATTATCTCTTATTTTGGCAGAGGACTGTAGGCCACTCTAAATATCTTGCCCCTCCTTTAACCCTATTTGGCCTCACCAGTCCTTCTTAGAGTTTTGTGTTAGTTTGAACCCAAAGTGAAGCAAAAAATGAAACCAGTGAGTTCTCCTCACCTGCCCCACACAGTCTGCTTCCCTAACAAGCCCAAGCTACCCCTTTACCTTTAAGTGTCGTCTTCTCTGTACATGCTATACGTACTATATGTACCCAAGTATGCGCAGCAGAGGGGCATCTTATCTGCTACGCCTCTGGATGTCTTCTGGGGGAAATTAGATGGCCCTCTCTTTGGCCCTTCACAGGGTAGCCAGTTGGCTTACTCCTCTCTCCTATGTAGAAAGCCCTCCCACAGCAGACATGCATCCACCAGAGGCACAAGACAGACTGCGACACCATATCCCATCCTCCATCCCCAATACACAGACGCTTACACAATAGCAGACTGGAAGATGCATTCACTTAACAGGAAAGTCCCAAAACAGAGGAGCATCTATTGGCACTTACTGCTGTGACCACACACCTAGCAGTGTTGGTGGTGGGAGGGGGAGAAAGAAGGGCTGCCACTTATTCTGCAAAAGGTTCAGAACTGGAAAATCTGTGCAACGTCCCACGTAAAGCTCAGGAGGTGAAAGGGGCCAAACTGCGCCCTCTAAAGATATTAGGAGGAGAGGAAAGTGATAGATCACCAGGTTCCCTCCTTGACATCAAAGAGGTAAGGAAAACGTCCACGGCTGTTGGTGGGGTAATGGGGCAGTCCATATACATCACCACTAAGGTTTTCGTGAATACTGGTGGGATTCAGTATAAAAGATTTTGCACAGCCTTAGTTACAAGCCAAGTGCCTGAAGCTAGGGATGCAACAACAGCCTATTTTTTTCCTTGCTTTCTTGGTCTAAAGGTAGTTATAACGCACTGGAAACATTGTTGTCAGAATACAGAGCCAATCAGTAATGGTCACCTTCATAAAAACCTGACAGATATGCATTCTGTTTAGATTTTCTTTTTAAACAGAATCCTCTCTCTGGGGTACTAATCTATTCCATTTTAAAGAAAAAAAATAAATCTGAGGAATATAAATGCATACACTGAAACAAATTCAATTTTAATCAGTCAAAAGCTTCCTGCTTTAAAAAAAACCAAGCTGATCAAGAACATATCAGTTGTACAATTTGACAAAGTCAAGGAAAAAAGCCAAACAGGAACTAAGTGGTTTAATAGCTCTTATGAATCTCAATTGATTTATATAAAAACTGGTTTGGCAGGCTCTCCTGGCGGAAACTTACATTTCTTAACTGAGTTCTGAGGGAGCCAAAATTATTAGCCAGAAAAATCTAAATGTGTCCTTAAAGACTAACAATAACGTTCTCTATGTCAGATTATTTTTAAAAGTAAATATATCATTTTGGAAGTTTAAGGGCCTAACCCCTTGAGTTGCTAAGTGCTATCCAACTCTTAATAAATTCACTGTGTGTGTGCATGAGCACGCAAGGGCGGCAAAGAGTAGACAGAAATGCTCAGCAACTCATTGGATTGGACTCTTGTCTCATGATTCTTCAAAGGGATCCACAGATACAGACCCTTATTCCCTACATGAAGTCCAATTAACTCCTGTGGGGCTCCATGCAGGTATAAGGATCTACTGATCCTTCTGCAAGATTACGACTGCAAGATCTTTAGGATCTAGCATCTGTAAAGTATCTAGCACGTTTCTTGGTGCTACGTAACAAATAAATAACCACCCTCTTCTGAATGAAAATATATATTTTTCTCTTTCTGCTTCTTACATGTTATAATCATGTTCACATACACCTTGAAGAAAAAGGATGAAGCAGAACAGAGGCTAATTCACTACTTCAGACTGTGAAAAAGACAGAAGAAAAGTGGTAATGAGATGCCATCAATCATGTTACTGGTTGGCCCCTTCATTCCACACTTTTCTCAATTTCTTTTCCTTGTTTGGTACCTTGTTGTCTGCTGTTCTGAGATGGTGTAAAACTGGAGCTGGAACTTGAGCTTGAACTGGCAGGGCTAGGCTGTTCAGACTTAAAAAAACAAACACAAACACACAGTTGTAAATACATTTGCTCCAAACTTTAACAACAACAAAAGAGCACAGTTTACTGCTTCATGCACTTCTCTGCAAGGAAAAATGCCACTAAACAGGATGATATTCACAATAATAATTATTTCCTGACAATTTCATGGAGTCAGAGAGCCAGAAGATGTACAAATTACTATGCATACAAAACATACACACTGTTGCAGGTCATATGCAAAAGCTTTCTTTCACAAAACCAATACTCTATACAATAAGCTACCCATGCCCTATTTTGAAAAGTTATAGAACACATGGGTTTAAATGACTTTATAATGCAACAGACCTAAAGATATAATGCAGGCTTGTCCAACTTTAGTTGCAATGTTTTCCTAATAAATCATGACTAGGACTCTAGGAGGCAGAAGGGACCCAAGTAAAGCAGGCTAGATGACAAACAGAAAAAGCCTAGGACAATTTCTTTTTTACCATCACCAAGGGATACATTATGTATAAATAAATATATTTTTCTGCTCCCATTGGGTTTCTCCTGAGCACAACACTTTTCACTTATGGAAAAATCCCACAGACTTTAATAAGGATTGAACTAAAAGGTTTAATTTTTCTAAAGGTATAGATTTCAATAGAACACCTTTCTAAAGAATTGTTAAAACCAACTTTTAGCATTCAATAGAGAATCATAACTTTGCAACAGAATTCTATAGAGAGTATATAATTTTCTATTAGTTCTATAAATGGCTTAGAATATTTTCTGTAGAACCTTATCAGTTTCATCCATATTAAAATCTATACATTTTTTGCCATAATGGTATACGAGTCTTCTATTGAGTCCTCATGCCTGTTTATCACCATTTTGCAACCACCCCGACCTGACCTCTCCCCCCACAACTTTCTGTGACTTCTTGTCTCAATGCCTAAAAATATAAGAGCAAGCAAGCAAGCAAGCAAGCATCCGAAACAAATACAAGACAGCAGAGAAAGCTAAAGGAGAGGCTAAAATCCTCCAACATGGAGAGAAAAATGCCCCACTGAAAGTATGATAACTTGGATTGAGAATTGGAATTTTAAACGCTATTATTAAAAACAAAACCTCCCCAGTCTTTAAGCTTTATGTAACTGCATCATTATGATGTGTTACCCAGGTTAAAAGAGAAATCTTCCAACTCTTTTTGGCTATATACTTTCCTCTCTGATTAATATCGCACTAAATCCTTGTCAAAAATAACAGCAATAATATCTAGCCATTGTAAAGCTCAGAGCTAACTTGCACTTTTATGCATACAGCTTACATAAGCCCAACAGTTGTCTTTTTGTCATAAATCAATCTATTGTTGCCCTTCGTAATGAGAAAGCAGATTTACGGCCTTTTACCATTTTTTCTCACAATCAAAAAGATGCCTGTTTGGGCAACAGAACATTTCTCTTTTTCCGATAATGTTTGAGAAAAAAGTAACATCTGTTCCTCTCAAATGAATGACAACTAGAGTTCTCAGTTAGACAACTGAAATACAAACTTTGGGCCTGATCCTCCACAAACTTACTAACTTTATTTGAGTAAGTCAAGTCAGTGCAGAAGTCTTCGAGAACTAAATGGGACTATTCATATGAGTAGAATTACTCATGCATGGATAAGTGATCACAGAATCAGACCTGTAGATATACAGCACCACACCCACTCCCCCCAAATAAGAACTGTTGAAAGGAGGACTCAGTCCTGAAATGGCATTAAAATACTATTTTCCCTTTTTCTAAAATACCTGGCAAGCCATACAAATATTAAAATGAAGGTCTTTAACTACACAGTATGATCTAACAATACAAACCAAACATTTTGGTCCAAGACTACATCAATAAGGAACAAAAACGGTCAATACAAATGGTGAAGATATCAAGTATCGGGGGTAGCCGTGTTAGTCTGTATCCACAAAAACAACAAGGAGTCCAGTGGCACCTTAAAGACTAACAGATTTATTTGGGCATAAGCTTTCGTGGGTAAAAAACCCACTTCTTCAGATGATATCAACATTTTCAAAACAAATTTTAGCCTCTTGCCTAGAGTGGCTTCACAAGTTACTCTAAGGGTTTCCTTTATCTGTCAATTTCTGCTTTTGACAACAAAATTACTTGCTGACAACTGGTTTCAACAGGTTGCCATATGTATTGTGTATTTTTGTCAGGTACTATAATTTTCACACAGAAATTGTAACTTATATGAACTCAACTGCAAATTCTAAGTTTCCATTTTAAATCAGATCCCAATCGCATACCAATATTTGATTTATAATATTTTTAAAATCTGTAAACCCTGGCAAAAACGTGTCACATACCTTTAGGTGTGTTTAAGGACTCTAAAAGTTCACTGTTTTCATTTTCGGCTAACACCACACTAATGATTACTTAAGGTAAAAGGCTAACCCTACTAACACTACCAGACATAATGCTTACCACTGCCAACAGTTCCATTGACTATAATTGAACTGCTTGTAGTGGCAAATACTATTGTCATCAGTAAGTGACTAGAGAATCAGGCCTCAGGAGCAAACAGGTGTGTGGTTTGTAAATTCACTTTAATACTCTTCTCGTGTTAAGAGATACAATATTACTCTGCTACAATCAAAATTATGCCACATCATAAAATAGTTTTGAGAAATCTTAAACTGTAGGAACAAGGAAAAGCCACTGAGTACAAGATGTCTTAACACACACTTGTCTTGTCCTTTTAAAATGTTTCTTAATGCCACCTTGAGCTCATTAACATTCTTTGCTTCATCTGCCCTCTCTAGTCACTTATTCCATGAGAGAGAGTATCATAAATGTTGAATATTAACTTCTGGAAACTAAAAAGTTAGCTTTAAGGGTTTTGAAAAATCCCAGAGGGTCGAGGAGAAAGAGTTGCTTTTAACATAAAATGAATATTATTTGCAGGAAAAGTTTGCATTGTAGACAAAACTGAAAATATGTCTTCCATGCATGAATATGGATTCGTGTCTAGTAGGTGGACACTTTTTGTTACCAGAGTCTCTCTTCTGTCACTTAAGCAACGCTTTTTGACAGTTTTACAGGCTGTTATCCCAAGGACCTTGGTATTTATGGCCTTTATTCACATGGGCTCTCTGCTCTTATCTACTGGTTACTAATCACCAAATAGATTTTTTTTTTATGGGTCTGAAATTAGCTTAAAGGATGTCCTTCAACAATGGAAGCCCAGGACAGTACAGGCAAACAGGTTCCCTGATACGTCCTTTTCCTGTTTTACTAGTTTTCTCTTCCTGCAGACAAGCTAATGAGGATTCAGACCCAAACTGTTCATTAGTGCAATGACCCTATATGATTTATTACATGCTTAGCCAGTCTTTCCCCTTCCCCCTCAACTTCTCTCATACTGATGCACAGGGAACACTGGCTCCATTATTAGAGCTGGTTGAAAAATTCTGCGTTTTTAAACTTTCTGCAAAGGTTTTTATGAAATGTGTCCCTTTTTTCAACCACCTAAATCTTTCTTTCTGTTTAAAAGAAGTACAATATCAATTTATTTCTGATCTACAGAGGACATTTCAGGCAAACTCACCTATTAACATTATACAGCACAGGCTTGTGAAATAAACCACCTTTGAGAATTTTCTGTCAAGGTTTCATTGTCGCATTGGATTTGTAGAAATACTAGTTTATAAAATACACTATAGATATAGAATAAAATCTCTGTTTCTTTACAAGATAGGGAACAATTACAGTTAGTGTTGTTGGGTTTGGGTTTTTTTTGCCTTTGTTTTAATTTTTATAAAAAGTAGATTTTGGTTTATATGTATAATGATCTAAAAAGATTTGCGTTGTCCTTGTACTATGAATGTTAAAACATGTACCTACTTAAAATAGTATATAGATTAATATTACTTCCTTGATAATTTCTTTAGCAGTTAGCTCAGAGGTGGGCAAACTATGGCCCGCGGGCCACATCCAGCCCGTGGGACCGTCCTGCCCAGCGCCTGAGCTCCCGGCCGGGAAGGCTAGCCCCTGGCCCCTCCCCCACTGTCCCTCCTCCCCCGCAGCCACGCAGGCCGCGCTCTGGGCAGTGGGGTTGCGCGCTCCAACTGACCAGCGCGGCAGTGTGTCTGGCTCCAGCTGGGCGGCGCGGCTGCCAAACATGCTGCTCTGAGCGGTTTGGTAAGGAGGCCGAGGGGTTGGATAAGGGACGGGCGATCCCAGGGGGCAGTCTGGGGACAGGGAGTCGTTGGATGGGGCGGAGGTTCTGGGGAGCGGTCGGGGGACAGGGGGTTGGATAAGCGTGGGAGTCCCGGGGGGGGGGGCCTGTCAGGGGGCAGCGGTGTGGATAGGGGTCAGAGCAGTCAGGGGACAAGGAGCGGGGGGATTGGATGGTTCGGGGGTTCTGAGGGGGGCAGTCAGGGGGTGGGAAGTGGGAGAGGTGGATAGGGGGTGGGGGCCGGCTGTTTGGGGAGTCACAGCTTTCCCTACCCTGCCCTCCATACAATGTGGCCCTCGGGCCAAAAAGTTTGCCCACCCCTGAATTAGCTTCTCAGGAAGACAGTACTTCAAGAAATTGTTTTCGGACATGTAATTTTCTCTTCTGCCGGACTCCCTTTAACAAAGGATTTTTGGGGGTGGGGGAGGGCAGCTGGGGGGAATATCATTTACTACTTCCTAGGGTAAACTGCTATAAATCAGCATTTTAATGTATTTTTTTTTCATATTTGCTAACAGTCCTGATGTAGGCAGGATAATCCCATATTTTTGCTTTCTGGACTGCATCATCATCAGGGACTGAATTTTTATCTGTTCTTCTCACTTTTGGCTCTAAATACCACTGCACATGGGTAATCAAATTCAGCTCTCCTTCTGCTCCTATACTGACTATCTCAGGGGTAGGCAACCTTTCAGAAGTGGTGTGCTGAGTCTTCATTTATTCACTCTAATTTAAGGTTTCGCGTGCCGGTAATACATTTTAACATTTTTAGAAAGTCTCCTTCTATA